TTTAAAAAAAATTAGAGTTGCCCCCACCCCTTCTTCAAATCCGAGAAAGTCGCTAGAAATATTTATTATACATGTATGAATCATGATCTGATGCATCTTAACACCAATGAGAGAGAGAGAGAGAGAGAGAGAGAGAAAGAAAAAAGGAAACGTGTGGTTATATCTCACAATTGTTTGTCCAATGTATTCAATACATTCATGTAAATTCGAAGTTTATGATGGTCCCTCCAAGGAACAAATTACAAGAGACATAACTTTTGTTTTCAATGGGAATATGCTTCTGATCAGTTCACTTGTCACTGAAATGCGTGGAGATCTAGTTTAGTTCAACCAGTACATGCCCTTAACATTTAGGAAGGTGTGTTTTTATGAATGCCATGATTATTCTTCAATGTATATTTTGATAGCACAATTAGAGGCGATTAAAAAAAAACCATTTACGTGAACGAAAATAGAAAAAATATGAAAAACTTGTACACGCAAGTAATTAATTACTAGCGAAAAGTCGCTAATGGCTTGATAAAAAAATTAAAAAATGCGTGTGTGACGTGCGTGAAAATGAACTGCATTTTTGAAAAGCATTTCTTATATTTGTGATCACTACAATTAGTGCAGATCACATCAATATTGTATTCTAATAGAAATGTATTGTTTCCAGCTTTGAGTTGCACAGCTTGCTAGCAGCGCAATGGCATGACGGGTGAATATATAGGAAACAAATATGAATGTAAAAATACTTGTTATTGAATCAAATCAAAATCTAGCTATTGTTTATCATTGAAGAGGGCATCTATTTAGCATTCAATATTTTTACCCTCTATTTGATATCAATATTTATATTGCTACCTTGTTGATGAAGTCATAATTGTTGGCATATTTATTATTGCGGACAAAACCAATTTAACATCTTTGTACACCCACATCAAGGTTCAAGATTCAAGTTTTATTTCATATGTGGTTCATAAAAAAAGGATAAAAATGCAAAGTAACACAAAATAAATAAACGAATGGAATTGAATTGAATTGATTTATTGTCCATACAAAAAATGGAAATTCGTTTTTCACTGGTACAGGTGTTACAAACAATGTACACAATTATACAAATTATAAAACATAATAACAACATAACATCAATGGCGTTAGATCCATCAATACAATGTGATTACTTGCCTAGGAATGGAGGAAAACAATAAAATAAAACAATAAAATAAAACAATAATATTAAGAGGAACAAATAGCGAACAAAATAACATCCACACACAGGTGTGAACACACACACACACAAGCGCGCACACCCACACAAACACAAACACATGCACACACACAAAAGCACAAACACAAGCAACCTAAAGGTCGGGTAAAGTGACTACCGAGTGACGCGATGATCCGATGATTCCAAGTAAGCCAACAATATTCATTAACAGTTGAAAGTGATGATGATTATCGATGTTAATCAAAATTATGAGCTCCCCGACCAACACGGCAGGCAGGTTGAACAAGGCCGCTGAGAAGGTGAGGATGTGGAACGGTGTGGACGGGGTCAATCATCTTCGTTTTGCATTGTCTCCCCCTCTCCCTTTCTAATATATCGCCATATTAATTTTAACTTGCAAAATAAAGAAACAATTACCGGACTTTGATAATATTAGAGTTTCGATTATAAACTATTTCAAAAACGAAAAGTATATTGCAGATTCAAGTTGTAAAAATACTGAATTCACAAAAAAATGGTTTCAATTCAGGAATTTGTTTACATAAAATGATATTTTTTCTTTCCATGAATATCAGAAAAATATTATTGAAAATATGTTAGTTTTCTGTTAACTTAACAGTTCAAGAATACTTGTATCTTGAGAAGTCAATTTAATTGATGTTAAAAATGTAAATTAACTTGAATATATATTTGTTAATTTGTTGCAATTGAAAATCAATAAAATCCCTGTGGATGGATAAATATGGAAACAAAAATAAATCAATTTTCTCCGCTTCCATTCAACATAAACTATATTCCACTTGAATATTTGAATTATACTAAACGATTATAAATAAACAGAAATAAAATAAATGAAATTTAAGCACTGACAATTTCGTCATGTAATACAATAATACATGATAATATTTAATATTAATGATAATAACATTCGATGATTAGATCAAGTAAAATATAATAATAGTACACATTGACTTATTGCAGTACATTAAAAATAAAGTTAAATTCTGGTCATGTGATTGCATTGTGAAAGAAACATTGTGGAATCGATCAAAAAAAAGTTGATCATGTAGCATATAAGTATTGGTGTTTACTGCAAGGTTCTGGAGTCATTAAAATGATAAGAAATTTGGCCCAGTCTTGGTAAAGCACTGTACTCAGAAAGATGTATATGATTCTACACAAACATGTTGCATAAAAATCGGGCCTCCTTTTTTAGCTTTTAAGAAAATGAAGGCATTTGAAGAGCCATACTTTTCAGGGAACTTTTTTTCTCCGATTTTCTTCCACACTTGCATAATAACAATGAAAACGTTCACAAATAATTTTTCACCTCTCTCCAGAACTCAACCTGTTATTTAACTGACATTTAAACAAAAAATGGAACGAAATCTATCATGAAATATACAAATTAGCCCTCAACCTTTCACACTTATTGTAACAATGCTACATTCACTCTCTTCTCACTCCCTGGCCTTTAAATCCAGAAACCCTACCCGTCCATCCCCTTCCTTACTATACCACCCGCCCTCCTCCCCAACCATTGCCCAACACGCACAAAACACACTAAATTTCTTTCTTGATAAATTCAGATAGAAGAATATGAAAATTAGTGAAGAAAAACACATTATACAAACATTAATTCATTCCTTCAAGTCTGTTGTAAATGAGGGGAATTTCGTGACACTGGATACACCCACAACAAAAAGTGAGTCACCCTTACTCAAATTGATGAGTCACTGGTTTGTCCGTACAGCGAAACACTTGAAGGATCATGTGAGTCACTATGACTCGATACAAATGAGTCTTATTTATCTAAGAGACTCATTTGTATCGAGTCATAGTGACTCACATGATCCTTCAAGTGTTTCGCTGTACGGACAAACCAGTGACTCATCAATTTGAGTAAGGGTGACTCACTTTTTGTTGTGGGTGCATCATGACATAGACCCCCCTACTCCCTAGGCCTATCACACACATACCATACCATGCCAGAGTCACTGTCCACATTTGCAATGGAAAATATATCCTAAAATATCACATTTTAGCGATGTAATCGGTGGTCCCGCTACCCGAATCTGAAAAATCTACTTTGTACGCACTAAATTAAGCCTTAACTTGAGATTTATTTGTCACCCATACTGTCACGAAACAATCTTGAATTAATTCGTTTTACATCAAATAACAAGGATCTAGGAGTTTCGTTGTATAAAACAATGATGCAAGATCATGCATGTTTTCATTCGACACGGCTTCGTGCGATACAGTAGAATCTATATAGTTAAGTTACACACAGCCTCATCAACTCGAGTGCGGATATCGTAAAATGAACGCGTGCATCATTTGTATAATAATCAGAAGATTCAGCCCACGAATCCAGTCATAAAAATCATCGTTTAAAACCATATGAATAATTATGCGTACCAATTTTTCACTAGCTGCAGTCAAAACTCTTCTGAATCCAAGATATAAGATGGCGACGTCGCGTCGTCGATCGGGAATTCAAATATGGCTAGAGAATGCGCATTTTGGATGACGTCACGAAAGCATGCGCGCGCATGCATACAGCCTCACTTTCAAGTTGACTCACTTTTTTCTTCTAAAATGCTCTTATGTCGATCTTGACTCATTTTTTACGACCATGCATGTGAGTCAGTCGAAGCATTTTGCAAATGCGTCAGCTCATGATTGACACACTGGTGAAATATAAATGAGTCAATAGAGACTCATTGGTTGTTACTAATGAGTCAATTTACACCTGACTCACGAAAATTATGCTTAAATGTGTCAAATGACTCACTTTTTGTTGTGGGTGTATAGTTTAGTACCATTTTGTGTAACGGTTGCCCGGTAAAAGGTCTCTTAGCGTGGGGGCTGTTAAAAAAGGGGGAACCGAGAAAAATGCTTTTGGGGTTTTAACACCTTCTTCAGGTGCTAAAAACGACAATGTTTCTTTATTCCATGTAGCCAAAACTGATATTTACCTGATTTATTATTTTCTAAAATTAGTTTGCAAATATATCTTTCTTTTGCTACACTACCGTTTGCTGGAAACAAAAAAAGCCCGAAAGTGCAATTTAACTTCCCGAAAAAAGGTCGTGTAGCGCTACGCGACGTTTTGCCCGCATTCGACGAATCATTTGTGTAGATGTATTCCTAACTTGTTTCCTTTTATAGCCAACCTTTTTTCGTCATCCCTATATTAAAATAACATTGTAAATAATTCATCTAGTGTAGGAATTACACCTTCTGACCTTAAAATAAATATAATATACTTTATTATACAAATTATTTTATTGCAGCATTTAGTTCTCTTTTCTTTTCATTCCGACATGACTATTTTTCCACTTTGTGGTTTGTAGTTATATTAGCCCAATTTGTGTCGATCTATCCCTGCCACATGCTCACTCGCCTTCTCCCTCACACCCACCCACACACTCTCACATACACACGTACCCCACTACACACAATCTAACACCACATCACATAATATATTTATGTCAGAGTTGAGAATTCTTGCACTTATATATATATATAAAGCACAAATCTTATCTGAATATCACTAAGGGTGTCGAAAATTGATAGTTGTCGACTGTTTTGATGATTGCTCGATTCCTGGCATAAAATACTTTTTGTTAATGGTGCCTAGCTAACCTGCCACTGTTAATCATACGTCTTCCTTTCCTACATATACGACTCCCCGTATTCGTAACTTGCACTTAAAACTCTACCCAACCCTAACCCTACACTTTTGAGGAAGGTAGAATAAAAGTTGGCTTACTGTCTCATGATATCCAATTTCCCTCTACCTCCCCTCAGCCTGTCTGTCCGTGCCGTGCCAGTATGGAGGAAACTGCACAGAGGTCGATGACGGTTTTACGTGTGAATGTCCTAAAGGATTTGGCGGGAACCGATGTGAAATATGTGAGTAATATGAAAAAGAGGGCTGTATTATGTGTACCATATGTGGTTTTGTCTAGTGGATAAGTCACCAGACTGGGGACCACAAGGTATGGGGTTCGAATCTCTCTTAAAGCACCGTTTTCCTTTGGTAAGACGTCCTTCAGTTCTCCCTTGCCACAGACTACGCAGGTGAAGTAAATGGGTATACCTGGTTCATTCATTCCTTGAAATGAGCTATGCGCTGATCAGTGCCGGTGCTAGAGTAAAGCCTGGATAATAATGTATAAAGCTCTTTGGAATCACATGGGGAGGTTATGCGTGCGTTATACAAAAAAAAAGAACATTCTGTTTTTGTTATTCTGTAGTCTATACACATCCTACTGTTATTCTATCGCTTCTACCATACCATGTTCCAACAGCAGGCAAATCCTACATTAACTGAAGTCGTAACTTCAGCACTAAACGAACAATACTTAACCATGTTTAAACCTAATCTGCTAATTTCAAACCTACCTCTTTGCCCTATATACCATACGTATAAGATTCCGTACAGCGACAAAAATGTCTTATCATGCTAGAATCGTATCTTACCATGCATTACATTTAGTTATCTGTCAAATTAATTTAATAGGAGCTTATTATTTAATTATTGAAACGTCACAATTGTTTGAAAAAGAGACGATTTATTGGGGGAAATGCAACTAATCGTTACTTTTATGTTCACGAACCCTCATTGATGGTTTTTGATCCATGACTGAAGTTTTGAGAGCGGTTATAGGCTAACTCGTTTGTGATAAACTGATGTATTCTCTTCTATTTTGCTGTCGTGTATTTTAGATCCACCTCGTAATTGTGCTGAGTTGAAGGCTCGTGACGGCATCACCGAAGATGGTACCTACGTCATTGACCCGGATGGAAAACGCACTCTATCGCTTCCGGTTGAGATGGATTGCCTCATGGCGGAAGGTAGGCAACAAATCTACGACTCGCACAAATGCTCCGCCGACAATTTCTCGTCGGGCGATCGCATACACTAATCGAATTCCGAACTACAACCCTGGACCGTGTTCTTTATCCAACCCTTATTCTAAACCCGACATAAAAGCCAATTGTTACCCTATACATAACCTTATATATCTTTGACGAGATCATGAAAGAAAGACCAGAGTAAAATTATTGTTGCCTGAGCAAGTGCAGGAGCGTCAATGTAAAAAGATATTTTTAGCATCTCTTCCAAATATTATACTTGTGTAAATGCATGACAGTAATAAATTTGCATCTCATACGTCCTTATATAATGACGTTGCGTTATAACTTGTGAAGATCATAATATATTTTCTTTGACCATGTTGCTCTTTCTGTTTGAGATTATTGCGTCTTACTGTTCAAAGAGACAGTTAAAAAGATCACAAGGAAAAATCTGAAACTCATGACGATGCAACGCACCGAAAACAAAGGAAATGCAATTAGTGTCCATAGTTTCCATGCATATTATCTCTAGAGTGCATACCCACCACTTCCCCTCTCTCCATCCATTCTAACTCTCTAGCTCTCCCTATTTTGCTCTTTCTCTTTCTCTCTCTCTCTCTCTCTCTTTCCCTTTAAGCTACTGCCTTCTTAATAATTTATGTCTATGTTTATCCCACACTTCGTCATTTCCTTCACCAATTTCCTCTTGTGAGTTCATCAAAGTATTTGGTTATTTCTGTGCTTGTCTTATAAAAAAATGCAATTGATTTAAATTTATCGCAACTTTATTGGTATCAATCGCGCAACATGATTTTGAAAGTTTGCGATTGATTAGAGGACTTGCAAGCAATACGGATCAATCGCAACTTTTTATAAGCCTGAAACTGGGCCCTCTCAGTTGCGTAAAAAGTCGAGTTTCTACGCATATCAACAAATATATATATATTCAACTTCACTTTCAACCAATCAATATCATGCATTTTGGACTTTTGATTCGCGCTTGATCGCCACCTTTATTTTGCAATAGAGCCATGGATTTTTTTTGACATCCCATGCAGGTGTCACCTCAGTAGAACACGACATCACCGGTCAAGAGACGACCCCGTCTGAACTGGGAGTAGGGGAGTTTGTGCGCAACGTGACCTATCCGTTCGACTCCAATACTATCCTTGCTCTCATTCAGGTACAGTATCTCCCTCATAACCAGGCGCGGATCCAGGGGGGACCGAGCGGGCCTTGGACCCCCCCCCCCCCCCGCCAAAAAAAACCAAAAAAAAGGAGAGAGAGAGAAGGAAAAGAAGGGAAAGGGAAAGAGGAGAGAAAGGGAAAAAGAAGAGGAAGAAGAAAAGAAAAGAGGGAAGAAGGAGATCGAGGGGGGGGGGGGGAGGAGGATCAGTTGGGGATATCAGTTGCAATTTTCCCGCCAACAAGTTGTGGATCGGGGGGGGGGAGGAGGGGGCAAAAGGCCCTTGCTCCCCCCCCCCCCCCCCAGCAAACCTAAAAGAGAGAGAGAGAAGGAAGGGAAGGGAAAGGGAAAGAGGAGAGAAAGGGAAATAAGAAAAAAGAGAATGAAGAAAGGTAAGGGATATCAGTTGCAATTTTCCCGCCAACAAGGTGTAGATCGAGGGGGGGGGGGGGCTTTGGGGAAATAAAATTCAAACGAGGTTTATTTCTAATTCCATAATGGTGGTTTACAAATAATGCTGAAATTCCTAAATTTACAGCCAGGCAAGAAAATGCTTCTTGAGATGCCTACATGTCAGGGCCCGCGGAACGGCGGGGATCGGGATCCTTGAGGCCCCCCCCCCCACTTTTTTTGAAAAATATATTAAAGAGAAATAGAAAGAAAGAGAGCAAGAGCCAGTGTCTCATTATAATGATGTATCAAAATATCCTCATCTGACCATGATTAAATGCCTGAAACCCCCAAGGCCTCTGCCCCCTGGATTCCACCTAGGGCCCTAAGGCGAGCCCTTAGATGCTCATCTGACGGTAATTTAATGCCTAAAACCCCTGATTTCTGGGGGTTCTGCCCCCTGGACCCCACGCCAAATATTGTCCTGCCAGTGTCACAAAATAATGAGGTATCAATTAAATGCTCATCTGACCGTAATTAAACGCCTAAAACCTCTAAGCTTCCCGGGGCTCTGCCCCCTGGACCCAACCAAGAGCCCTAAGGCGGGCCCCTTGATACTCATCTGACCGTAATTGAGTGCCTAAAACTCTTAAACTTCCGGGGGCTCCGCCCCCTGAACCCCACGCCAATTAGTGACCTGCCAGTGTCGCAATTAGGTATCAAAATAATGGTCATCTGACCGTAATTAAATGCCTAAAACCCCTGAGCTTCCGGGGCTTTGCCCCCTGGACCCCACCTAGGGCCCTAAGGCAGACCCCTGAATGCTAATCTGACCGTAAATTATTGCCTTAAACCCCTGAGATTCCGGGTGCGGACAAGGTATCAACATATGCTCATGTGACCGCGGGCGCGTAGCCAGGGGGAGGGGGGGGGGGGTGAGGTGTTCCCCCCAAAAAAGAGAGGAGTGAAAAGGAAGAGGATGTAGGAAGAAAAGGGAGTAGACAAAGAACATTTTTGAAATTCAGACAGAATTAAGAGTCGAAAACGGTACAACGAATCGTCTTCTTTCTCTAGTAATTTAATAAAACGTCAAAGCTTCCGCGCTTCGCGCAAGAAGGTGGGGTGGAACTTAATTCAGACAAGGATTAAGAGTCGATAACGACACAACGAATCGTCTTCTTTCTCTAATAATTTATTGAAACGTCGAAGCTTCCGCGCTTCGCGCGGGAGGGAAAGGAACTGAATTTAGACAAGGATTAAGAGTCGAGAACGGTACAACGAATCCTCTTCTTTTTCTGATGATTTAATGAAACGTAAAAGTTTCCGCGCTTCGCGCGAAAGGGGGCAAACTAAATTCAGACGAGGATTCTTTTCGAGAGCGGTACAACGAATCGTCTTCTTTCTCTAATGATTCATGAAACGTAAAAGCTTCGCGCTGGAGGGGTAAACTGAATTGAGACGAGGATTAAAAGTCGTAACGGTACAACGAATCGTCATCTTTCGCTAATGTTTTATTAAAACGTAAAAGCTTCCGCGCTTCGCGCGGGAGGGGGAAAATAAATTCAGACAAGGATTATTTTCGTGAGCGGTACAACAAATCGTCTTCTTTCTCTAATAATTTAATGAAACGTCGAAGCTTCCGCGCTTTGCGTGGGAGGGGAGGGAACTGAATTTAGCAAGGATTAAGAGTCGAGAACGGTACAACGAATCGTCTTCTTTCTCTAATGATTTAATGATACGTAAAAGCTTCCGCGCTTCGCGTGGGAGGGGAGGGGGGAACTGAATTTAGACGAGGATTAAAAATCATAACGGTTCAACGAATCGTCTTCTTTCGCTAATTATTTTTTGAAACGTAAAAGTTTCCGCGCTTCGCGCGGAAGGGGGAAAATAAATTCAGACGAGGATTATTTTCGTGAGCGGTACAATGAATCGTCTTCTTTCGCTAATAATGTAATGAAACGTCGAAGCTTCCGCGCTTCGCGTGGGAGGGGAGGGAACTGAATTTAGACAAGGATTAAGAGTCGAGAACGGTACAACGAATCGTCTTCTTTCTCTAATGATTTAATGAAACGTAAAAGCTTCCGCGCTTCGCGCGGAAGGGGGGGGGGGGGGAAAACATAATTCAGACGAGGATTATTTTTGGGAACGGTACAACGAATCGCCTTCTTTCTTTAATAATTTTTTGTAATGTCGAAGCTTCCGCGCTTCGCGGAGGAGGTAGGGGAAACTCACCCCTCCCTGCACCCCCTCCCCCCCCCCCATTACGTCACTGCTGGTCACCATTACGTACCAATATTTGGCTCGCATAATTTCAAATTTGGGCCCCCCCCCCCCCTCTAAGAAATCCTGGATCCGCGCCTGCTCATAACATCCTGTTTAATGCATCTGATTTTCACACATTATGGTCTCATTCTGGATTCCATACTTAAGTTCTTAAATGATAATAGAGAATCGATATTTCCAATTGACTTTCTTGTCATAACGAATGTACAAAAAATTCGCAATATTAAGAATTCTTCGTCAGTTTCATTTTTTATTCCCGTTTCAAATTACATGTACTACACTACTATATACTGTATAGTAAAAAATGTTTTGCTTGAAGAATAAAACTAAGGCGCATTCATACTGTCAAATATTACTTCGATGAAATTTCAATGAGCGTGTTGTCAGAAACTATTCAGAACGTGAAGATATAACATTAGTAGAAAATCAAATTGTAATCCTCCAGACTCAATATTTTATTATCTACAGGAGATGAAAAATATAGAGAATAAGAGAAAATGAAGAGGGGCATAATTATAGTGAGTGAAAATGGAGAAAGGTATATGTAGCTGTACAAGGGAAGAGGCGATGAGAGAGGGAGTGTGTATGTTGTGGGTTTACGGTGGTGTGTGTGTGTGTATGCGTGTGTGTGTGTGAGTAGAGTTAGTAAGAGAGGGAGTGATAACTGATAGTATATTAAGGAGAAAGTGAGTGAGAGAGAGAGAGACTGGAGGGGGGGGGGGGGGACTCGATATTCAGATAATAAGAACCATGCCACATTTTTCACTCCTTTAGAATTCGAAGATCTGCAAGCAGTTAATCTATGCCAGGGCATACAGGTCCTACATCTACTCTTCTGATGGCCTCACGCAGAATGTTTGGTGGGTGTCACGACAGGGGAGGAAAATGCCAAACTGGGGCGACTCACCGAGTGATCACAGAGGTTGTGCATGTAGTTACGATGGAGGTAAGAATGCCCCCCTCAATTTTATAGATAGAGAAAATTAATAATCCTTGCATATAATCAACTGCGACTTAAGTGGCTAGCCCTTTCAGATTTTCATTGAGAAAAATTATAAGAGTGAAAGAGACAGCAAGTTGTCAACAATCAATAATCCTGATATATTAAGTGGGAAATATAAAGATTAGACCACCCAGTGAGCCATCGAGGTCACTGTGACAGGTGGCTATCTCATTAACTCAGCTCTCATTTAACATAAGAAAAAGAGGATCATGGGGGACCAACAGGCACCAATTTGGGAAGTTTTCTATATAGAGGGAGCAAGTAGCTACAAGTAGGACAGTGTGCCTTTAACAAATGATTGGCCACGCGACACGAAAACGGCACAGAGGCTGGACTACCGGGTCAAATGCCCACACAAATGAAGAGACCATATTTTCTTTTTTCCCCACCAAAGGTTGCAGTAGACCAGTTCGTAATTAGCACATGGGTCATAGGACCCCAAATAGCCACATTATGTTTGAAACAAAGTGCCTTTTGGAATAATCACAGCTAAAGTCATGGAGATGATTCTTTGTTTGCCCTCTTGAAAGATTAGAATTTGAAAATTGCGCCGAAAATTTCGCAATGACTCAGCTAGCCGGTGAATAAGCGGCGGCGGGGGAGGGGGGGGGGGGGGGTTAAGAGCACATTGTTGTTGTTGTTGTTATTATTTTTTCTTGGATTTGATGAAAAATTTCGCAACGATTCAACCATCCGCTGAATAAGCGGGGGGGGGGGGGGTAAGGTCACTTTTTTTTGGTCACCCTTTTAATTGAGGAGGGGGGTTTCCTCCACCCCCCCCCCCCCCCCCTGCGTACGTGCCTGATCACAGGTACATGCATAAATATTGATTACTTAACTTCGTAAGCATGTATCCAGTATAAGTCTCAGTGAGTTTTACAATTTTGTTCAAGTGACCTTTATCTGCGCATGTGCAAATGCGCATTGCTCAAATTTTATCTACGAACTGGAATATTATTAACCTTATAAGTTATGTGCCCTAAAGCTAAAGGAATAAATATATTGTGAAACCTTTAATTTCATTCATTCAAATTTAGACTGATTTGTTTATTTAGTATTTCTTCATTAAAAAAAAATGAAAATCACGTGAAGTTCGGCACAATCGCCTCGATTGTTGAATATGTTAATAAACCATTTCCTTTTCTTATGCAGCTAGCTGTCATGGAGGACGTCGTTGTCACACCGATTACTCCGAGTTCTCAAATTCATGGCGGGAAGATACTGGCTACCTTACTGACATGAGAAGACTGCCAGTCATCAGGCTGCACACAGGATACACAACAAGAACAGCGGCATATCCGTATTCACGTCATTT